CTGTAATATTTTGAGAACGAGAGGGAAATTGTGGCTGAAAATTCGTAGTTTGTATCAGGCGAACATGATACTACAGGAGGTCGCACGACAAACTCGCACAGTAGTGGTTCTCATGATACAGAGGTTACTCGAAAAATGTTCAAACGGTAATATTTCGTCAAAGAGGGGGAAATTGTGGCTGAAAATTCGCATATTGTATCAGGAGAACGTGACACTACAGGAGGTCGCCCGACAAAACTCGCAGAGCAGTGGTTCTCATGATATAGAGGTTACCCGATAAACCTTCAAGCTGTAATATTATGTGAACGAGCGCGAAATTGTGGCTGAAAATTCATATTTTTTATCAGGAGAATATAATACTACGAGAGGTGGCACGACAAAACACGCAGAGCATTGGTTCTCATGATACAGATGTTACTCGACAAACATTCATGTTGTAATATTTCGTGGTCAAGCGAAAGCTTGTGGCTGAAGTTTCGTATTTTGTATCAGGAGAACATGGTAGTACAGAAGGTGGCACGACAAAACTGGCAGAGCATTGCTTTTCACGATACAGAGGTTACTCGACAAACATTCACGTTGTAATATTTCGTGGTCAAGCGAGAACTTGTGGCTGAAGATTCGTATTTTGTATCAGGAGAACATCGTACTACAGAAGGTGGCACGACAAGACTCGCAGAGCAGTAGTTGTCATGATACAGACGTTTTTCTGATAACGTTCAAGCTGTTATATTTCGTGAACGAGACGGAAATTGTGGCTGAAAATTCGTATTTTGTGTCAGGAGTACATGGTACTACAGGAGGTGGCATGACAAATCTCGAAGATAAGTGGTTCTCCTGATATGGAGGTTTTTCGAAAAAATTTCAAGCAGTAATATTTTGTGAACGAGGAGGAATTTCTAGCTGATAATTCGTATTTTGTATCAGGAGAACATGATACTATAGGAGGTGGCACGACAGAGACCGCGTAGCAGTGGTTCTCATGATAGAAAGGTTTTTCGAAAAACATTCAAGCTCTTTTACTTCGTGAACGAGCGGGAAATTGTGGTTGAAAATGCGTGTTTTTTATTAGGAAAGCATGGATAGTATAGGGGCTGGCACGACAATGCCCGGCGTTTAGTGCTTCTTCTGATACAGAGATTTTTTTGGAGAAATTTTTGAACTGTTATTTCTCGAAATCGAGGCAGAACTTTTTGCTGGAAATTCGGATTTTGTATTCGGAGAACATAAAATTGCAAGGGGTGGCATGTATTGTTTTTAATAATATTTAATAAAATATCTGTTTATTTTCTCATGATGTATTTTTTAAATATTGTGAATGTGGTACAATCTAACCTCAATCGTGGAATGGTGCAACTAGTTGCCGTTTTCAAAGTACAAGGGCATCTTAAAAATCATAGAGATAAAAGAACAATGGATTATTTTAATATTTCTATATTGTTGGCAGAATAACATTGACAAAATCATTGCATTAAATATTCTAAGTATATATGTAGAAGTGTGTACAAATGTGTACAAATGTGTACAAAATGTTTTTGGAATAGTCTTGAAGATTCAGATATTTAACATAATTCTTTCTATTCTTTGTCCTACATAACGGGTAGATAGAAGTTAAATGATAAAGTAAAGTGTTATTTTAATCGAATCTTTCATCTTTGTAAGAAAGATAAATTTTTAGTTTTTGACTTATTCGGTCTAATTTAAATCCAATCACTAAAGTTACTTTCTTTTTAGTTTCAAAATTTTGAGTAAAGGTATAGGAATTAAATTATCAAATAATATCTTGACAGTAATGTGATATTTTTTTGCCTATGTAACATATCTTCATTGCTCTTTTTATGTAACATATCTTCATTGATCTTTTTATTTTGCCTTTTATTATAATACTAATCCAATATATAAGTTTATTTTAGATACATTAACTGACAGAGAGTATTAGCTACAGAAAATATATAGAGATATAGGCACTAAAGATTTAAAAAGATGAAATATAAATCAGAGAAAGTGACTAAGTGTGAAAAATTGTTTCATCAATATGATATTTCATTCAACTGCAAGTAATAGTTATATTTTACAGATTTTAACAATCTTTTTCAGTTTTTTGGATTTGTTTCAGGTACAAATTGTAGAAACGATCGAAGAAGACTTCGCTGTTGACAACACTGTAGTTGGTTTTCAAAAATCATATTCCTGGGGCATTTACTACTTCTATCGTTTTACTTGATGTAGTTCTTCAATTCATTGTTGTTTAAACGTAGAGTGCGCTAAAGAACCAGTGATTATGTCGATATTTCAGATCCCCAGCCAAGAAAACCCATAAGATGCTAGGTCTATTTATATATCTCGTTTGTGATAATTTATCACTATTAGCAGTTATTCGTTGTTTGTTATAATTATGATTGACTTACAGATTAAATGAACAAATGTTTGTATTTACCAGATAAATTTTTTTCATTTCAAGCAAAGATTCAAATTTAGAGACACAGAATTACATTTAATGTCACATCTATTCTGTATTTAATCGATGATTGAACTACCCACTATTATACTGAATCGATAACGTTGCATGTGACATGAAAATGGTAAGAGAGTTAGGTGACTCATGAAACCTATAGCATAACAAAGTATAGAATGTCTGGTCTATTCTATACCAAATGTGTGGTAAAAATCAACTGATTGGAATTATTTCGCAGGAAATTAAATTTTAAAAATATAATCATGTTTGAACACAGCTTTTTATTTACAGAATTCTGAGAAATGCAAGGAACATGTTAATAGTACAAAGGTCTAGAATTTTAAAAGAATATTGTGAAGTGAAGAGTAATGATGTTTTATTTTCATTCTAAATGTTGTTTACAATTAACAAAAATATTTAAAATGTTATACTTGTCACAGATCACTGAAAATTTAATACACACTTAGGAAAAAGAAAACAAAATACAAAGTCAGTCATGACAATTGATACTTATCTTAAGCAATAATACAATTTACTATTGCTAATTACATTAGCTAAAAAGAAAAATGTTGTTTGGTAAAAAAACAGTAGACTGTAATGAAACTAAGACAATTTTACAATGTTGAAACAGTGATTGTAATTTGGTAGGTTTCAAAGATTTTGAGTTTTCATAATGGCTCAAGAAACAAAGATATAGCCCTAAAGTACTGTTAAGTTAGAAAGGTTATTCTAGTGATTATTAATATTCCTGGGATGTTTTATCTCCCTTCCCAGATCCGCCAGTACCAGTTTTCTTCGGCAGAAGCACAGCTTGAATATTAGGCAGGACACCACCTTGAGCAATTGTTACACCTGAGAGCAATTTATTTAATTCTTCGTCATTACGAATAGCTAGTTGCAAGTGACGTGGGATTATCCTGAAATATAAAGAGCATTGTGTATATCTAGCAATTCATGAGTATTCAAAGATATTGTTTAATCATAAATATGAACAAAAATATTTGTAAGAATATACACATGATGTAAATTTGATAGAGTAATAAACAATCTATAACAATAGTTCAATTACATTTTAAAATTTTACCAAGACAATAATACAAGAATAAAGTAACATCTTTAAAAATTGATTTTTTATGCTACATAAAATTGAATCTTTGCATTCAAATTCAATAAAATAATTGTGTATCAATTTGTTTAATTAAATGAATTGTACAAAGTATTGTGTACACAGAATAAATGAAAAAGACGTTTTTATAATTGCGAAAAGAAGGAAGTTAATGGATAGATAAATAGGCAGGGAGGTAACTGAGAGGGGAGGGAGGAGAGAGAGAGAGAGAGAGAGAGAGAGAGAGAGAGAGAGAGAGAGAGAGAGAGAGAGAGAGAGAGAGAGAGAGAGAGAGNGGAAGGCTCGTTATACCAACCTCGTTTTCTTGTTGTCTCTTGCAGCGTTCCCGGCTAACTCGAGTACTTCAGCTGCCAAATATTCCATCACAGCGGCCAAGTAAACAGGTGCTCCAGCACCAACTCGTTCCGCGTAATTTCCTTTTCTTAAAAGGCGATGGATTCTCCCGACAGGGAACTGCAGCCCTGCCCTACTACTGCGGGTCTTCGCCTTTCCTTTAGCCTTTCCTGAAACAAAGCACACAAACGTCTTCCAATAATCCATAATATCATACTCAGGCGAAGTAGACACGATACTTACCACCTTTGCCACGTCCTGACATCTTTTACAGTATTTCCTTCAAAATTCTTCTTAAACACGAGCAATGACCGATGCCTCTCCTCCGACTACCGAACAGCGAATGAACGTCCACCTTGCTCGACGACGGTTATGCGTATGTACGTCAGATATTTTGGCGGCGACAGTTAGGTCGGTGCTGGTTTGCGCGGGAACCTTGTTCTGCCGCAACCATGCTCGTGGCGCCGCCGGCTTTCCATTAAAATCCCTAGATATGAAATGAAAGAGATTATTTTAAATCACGTTTGCTCATAGAGATACAAGCATAATTATACATACATTAAGAAAGTATTGTTTCTTTTTTTTTGTTATTAATACGACTTATTTAACGACACTTTTGCTGGCTTTTACTTCTTCAGGTTTGTCGTTCTATCGTGGCTATTTCACGTTATGCGGTGAATTACACAGCCTGCGTAAAATACGCGCGTCTCGACATAGAGGGCAGTATCGACGAAAACAACTGAAAATTTGTAATTATTTCAAGTTAATAAAGATAATAGAATCTATGATTCTAAACTTGTTTAATAATGTAACATCTCGTATTCCGTGTGATGAAGATTCAAAATCAACCGGACAATTGCAACTAATTATCAATCATAAGTAGATTTCTTCGTGTCCTATGTGAAAGGGGGAGGAATAAAGAACAAAGATCAAAAAATTCATATTTTCAACAATTTACTCCTAGGCTCTCGTTTTGGCCAGATCAGAGACCAACAAATATTTTTGTGGTCTTATTTTGTTATACAATACATAAAAATAATGATATTTACAAATGTAGGATAACGTTAGGCACTCAATGAACAAAACGATGAAATTATAAATGGATTTCATATTATACATACTGGAGGTATTACGATGAATAGTTGAACAATATACTCGGAGAGTAGAGTGAGATACAAGTACTAGGATATTAAAATTAGTATAATATAGCATTGATTTAGTTGAACGTAAGAAAAAAAAGTTTGCTTTTCTTTTCTTTTTTTTTTTCTTTGCAATAGAATGAATTTTATTCGCTTTTCAATATTGTTTACGATCCGATTACTATTCGAACGTGGAATGTTGGAGATTGGGTAACAAGCATATTTTTATCTGGAATGTGCTCGCGCGGATGTCTCATGTTTTAAACTAAAACAATTTAAATTAAGTCACTTTACCTACGTAAGTACCTCACTGCTGTTGTTACATTAATTTCTCTTGTATTCACTGGCCTTTGCGTTCATTATTGTGAACAATGGACATCGAAAGGAAAGAACCATCACTGTTCTGATTTCGTGGAATCAGACGTGATTTTCCTGCATTCTACGAATGTCCGTAGACTAGAGTTGCTTCTATCTCGAAACATTTTTTTAAGTTAAAAGTAATTGTTACGGTTCTACAGCTTCGACGTTTTCTTTTTTTTTTTTTTCGCATCCAGATTTATTATGATCGCAGTCTGTGGTTCATAGTTTCAACGTGTTTGAAAATTTTCGTTAACACAGAGCTCGCATACACTATCCCCATTTACGACGCAAAATGAAAAAAAAAAGTCACAGTCTATATATTGGAGAATAAGTTTTTTTTTTTTTCGATTATCATTGAACCGATTCGATGAACGTCGCGATTAGATGTCCCGTTCCTTTTATACCAGGTAATATCAACGATCGACTCATATACAAATTGTGACATATCATATTGTTTCAAGTTATTATCTGACATAGAGTCCACATTACGCAGAATAAAATAAGTTATACGATTTGTCTATTTTTCATTAAAATATTATGATACAAATTACAATTATTTATAGTTTAGGGTCTAAGAGCCGTTAGTTGAAACTATAAAATCTTTATTATCTTTATTATAATCTCACTTCAGTGATCAACTAAGAAGTGCGTGTATATTTGTAGGTGTAATTTTGTTTTATACAATCGTTCTTACACTTGTTTCATATTGTGTACGTGTACGTGTATGTGTGTCTGTTGATATGACGATCATCATTTACGGAATACAAAGATGATGGATTGGCGATCGTCGTAACGTACCTTCAATTATTATTGCTGTTGAACTTTTATACTCTGTATAGAGCATCGTCGCGTGGTACATTTAGTCGCAAAAAAATACGAAAGGCTGCTGCTGTACATTTGGTCAATAAAACACATTTCATCGACCTTTTGTCGCTTGCCTAAATGTATCGTAAGATTTTATATATTTGGTACTGTATGCTAACGACCCTTAACCCTTCGATAATATCACAGATGAGTGAGTTTCCGTGTTGTGCGTTACGCATCGCTACCTAAGGTTCCTAACAAGTGCATTAATCCTTTCAATCTTTTCACTGAGCATTCGTCTCTCCGAATCAAGAGTCGTTCTCGCGGACAGCAGTTCGTATATCCTTCGCTCTAAGTGAATAGTTTCAGAACGCAAGTTGTTCGACTGTGTTACCAATTTTGATGTTTCGCTCGTCAAAATTTTCTTCTCCAATGCTCTCTCTGAAACGAAAGAAGTAAGATGGGAAATGAAATGAAGACAACGACACGCTCGACATCAGTCGATGAAGCAAAATGACCATCCTGTCGTACCTTTGGAATATTCACTGTAAGCTAGCATGATGTCCTCGATGCCGGTCCATTTGGGTCTTTCGTTCTTCCCACCGACGTGATCGTCTACATTCTCATCCACGATCTTGATATCCACGATCTTGCAGTGTTGCTTCACTCCATTTTCACCGGGCATAGGCAAAGCAGGATAACCCATCGAGACTATGTTTGGAACCAAAGGTGGTAGAGGCGGTGGTCGTTCTGGAACCTGTTTTACTTTCACTCTGTCTAGAAGTCTCATCTTTTGTGGCGGTTTCGGTAACGTTGGTGGATTCTTCGAGTACGCCTTGGCAATTCTTTCGCAGTACGCGGTCACGGTGTTCGAACTTCTCCGTTTTTTACGATCTTGCAGAACGTACTGCCACGTTATCTCTGCCTCTGTAATAATTGTTTTAATGTTCATTCTCAGTCGTAATAATTCGAAAATTTAATTTATAACAATAACTATCGACAGCCGACAAGAAACAAAAGGACAACATCTGTCTCGCCGATACTTGCCATCTCTTCTGTTCGGAGGCATCACGTCGAGGCCTATGGTCCTGAGAAAACCAACTTTCGGTTCAAAATCTGGCGTGTGGAGCAATACATCCGGATGTTCCTGTGGTATTGGTAATACTGACTCGACCATTTGATCCGTCTCCAAAGGTACTTCCGGTGGATCTGGATTTAATCTGTACCTCTTCTCCACTTTACAGAGCTCTATTTCTATAGGCAGAAGGAAAAGAAAGCGATTCACGAGCGTTAACATCGTAGACAGTGGACGAGAAACAAACAGCAAGAAACTTTATTGCTCGTACTTACCATTCCTCATGCTTAAAGTAGTTAGACCGAACATGGCGAGGAATGCAAGCTTCTTCTCGGAATACTGCAACTTGGCTGGTGGACCTTTGATAATCCAGAGATCCATGTCTTTCGTTTCTTCCTCACCTTCCGAATCGGAACTACACGCGAGGCCTGTATTCGTTCTTTCCCGTTTTCTCTTCCTTCTCCTCTCGGCTAGATCTAACGAGGACGTTAATTCCCTCGGCTTCTCAGGTACAAGAAAAGACTTTTCGCTCGTAACATCCTGTTTGACTAGAGCTTTGCTCAGGTCAGGCACATTTAATACCGCTGGTTCGCACTTCACGGAAATCTCAGTCAAATTATTGCACTTGTCGGTGAAACAAAATGCGGTTTTCAACTCATTCGAGAAATTCAACAGTTTCTCTTGGTATTTTGGTATCTGCAGGAGAACATTGGAAACGTTCTGACAGGTACGCAAAACTTCCTCAGACTTGATACTCTGCATCAGCTGAGTCGTATCTATAGGCTTCTGTGCGATGTCGTTTATGCTGAACTTAAAATTCGGTTGAAACGATAATGTGGACAAAACGCTGTTCTGATCGCTCTGTATCTTAGACTCTACTTCAGGTTTAATCTCCTTCTCCGCGAGATTAAAGTTTATAGGTTGAAAAGTGGGTGGTGGTAGTGGTGGTGGTGGTGGTGGTGGCGGTGGTTGTTGTTGTTGTTGTTGTGGCGGGCCCTTTCCTTGTTGTTCGTAAGTCAAATGGGGCGTCCACGGCTTTTCCTGATGCGAATTCTTTCCCAAATGATTCAACTGATTCGCAATCGGTTGCTGCTTCGCGTGATTTTCCATCTTCTCGTTGCACGAATTGACTTTGCTCTCCTTCGTCGGTATATCCGCGCTGTTCTTGTGATACGAGTTCGTGTGATTCGTCATCATCTTGTTCCCATGACCAGGGCCAACGTTGTTACCGTTGTTGTAATTTACGTTCCCTGCCGTTTTGTCGGCGGATATGCAATTAACGACGTTCGACGACATCGAAGGTGACGCCGAGGATGACGACGACGGGGACGACGATGACGGCGGTGACGACGACGACAATGAACAAGAGATCTCGTTTCGTTGAGCCACGGTCGCAGCCACCGTCGCCGTTGAATTGCTCTCGTTGACGTGATGCGCGCCGCTTTGCTGTTTCGTGCAGTTGGAATTGGTCGTAGCTACCGCGCCGCTGCTGTTACTCGCGCTGCCAGTAGTTAACGCCGGTACGTTCACTTTCGCTTGCGAGTGATGTTGATGAGGAGACGAAGAAGAGAAATGCGGCGGCGGTTTGTACAAACTAGCTACATGCGAGACAGGTATATGCGGATGATGAAATTGTTGAGGCGGATAAGGAATCGGGTGTGACAACGATTGTTGAATGTTCGTGCTCTTCGTGTTATCCGCGATGGAATTCTCCGCTATTATCTGTCCGGCGATAGTGTGCGACGTTGTCGTTACAGCGGCCGCCAATTTCACCGGCGATTCCTGATAAGAAATTTGATTGGCTATGATATGGTTGTGGCTGTTCACGACGGGTCTTGGTTGAGGCTTCGACGAAGAGCGAAAGGAATCCTCGAACGGTCTGACGAAAGCCGGTTGCTGGGTGGTCGCCGACGTGTTCGTTGTGGTAACGGTGGTGATCATCGTGCTGCTGCTGGTGCTCGTGCTCGAAGCGTTCGTCGTCGTACTTATCGCGACCGTACCGGCGTCTTTACCTCTCGAACTATGAATACCGTGAGGCAACGGTGGCGATTTGTGAGTCAAGGTGGTCATATGATTCACGCTATTCATAATCGAGGGGATCGCATTAGCTGTCGTTAGAGTGTGTGTCCCATGCGTTGTCATAGTGCCGCCACTGCTCGACAAACTATTGCTCGTTGTTGTACCGGCCGCGCTGCTACTACGTTGCTGATGTTGCGACGGTGTGGACGATGTTACCGGCGATGGTGCTTGCGACGATTGTTGCACCTGTTGTTGTTGCTGCTGCTGCTGTTGCTGTTGTTGATGGTATATAGAAGTTGTGACCGTAGTTGTCGCGCTGCTCATTATCGTAGCTGTATGCTGACTAGAATGAATAGTAGTCGAGGATACGGAGGGCAAATGGAGAGAAGGTATAGAAATGATAGGCGCCAAGGGCATAGTTAGGGATGGAGGTGGCGGCGGTGGCGGCGGTCCAATTACCGCTGGCGTTAAGGACGAGATAGAGGGTATAGAAGGAATAGGCGGCGGGCCACCGATAGGCGCGGAACTTATAGCTGGCGGAGGTCCAAGGTTCAAAGGGGGAAGAGTAGAAGTCAAAGGAGGCGGCATAGCCGCGGAGCTGACGGAACAGATAGTTGCTGAACCCAAGGACGGTGGTGGTCCAATGGGAGCCGTTGGATTCGGAAACGTTGACAAACGAGAGTGATAGATGTTCGCTGTTGCCGTTGGATCCGATGACGGTGGTGGTGGTGGTGGTGGCGGTGGTGGTGGCGGTGGTGGTGGTGGTGGTGGTGGCGGTGGTGGTGGTGGTGGTGGTGGTGGTGGTGGCGGTGCTACTGTTGGCGGAGGAGGAGGAGCGGAAGACTGCTCTTCTTTTCTCGATGGATGATGACTATTACCGACAGATCCAACGTTACTGTTACCATTGTTGGAGTTATTAGCGTTGCTGTTGCTATTCGCACCGCTTCCGCCGCCGCCGCCTCCGCTGCCGCCGCCGCCGCCGCCGCCACCGCTACTGCTCCCGCTTGGCCGATCTCTGTTCTCGCGTTCTCGCTCCCGGTCGCTATGCATCTGAGCCGCTATGGTCGGCTTCCTAGCTGGAACAAATCCCGAACACAGTGCTTGGTAATCTTCCACTGATCTAATGTTGTTGTCGATTTATTACTTAGTAGAGCGGACACGCACAGCCATTTTTACGTCTCAATACGCAACCAATACTCTTTCGTTCGACGCTAAACAGTCCGGGGCGTGATGCGCGCTCAACCTTCCGTGTCTCGTTTTAAACGTCTGTTGGTCTGTTCCGTTCGGAAAGCGCGAGGAGAAGCGTTCTTCACAAGAGGGATCAGCCTCGAATCGATCTAAAGCGGATCTCGTATTCGCTCGTGATTGCCCCCTCGGGATACGATAATCGCATCTTCCAAGGAAACGAATGCGCATTCGAACACGAGAGTTGGCGCATCGTGCACCGACGCTGGACAACGAATCATGTCGCAACAGGTTGAGGAAGACAATTTTTTTGGAGACGACGACCATTCGTTCGCCTTCCGTTTCAACTTACCTGAGCGATCCATCAATTTGTCCTTACAAGAAATGGCTGTATGATGTGTATTCAGTTCGAAGTATTGGGGATGATTGCTAATAGAACTTCAATAGAAAATCGGATAACGTACTACTGTATCGGCTCTACGAAATATCTCGCTTGCTATCGGGACGCTCGCGTCTTATATCGTAGACAGCGCGTAGGAAACTGACATAGTTATCGAACGATCGAGACCGCTGAATCTTCCCCAAAACTGTTTCAGAAAATGAATCGAGGGTCAAGAATTCCAAGTCAATCAGAATTTTGATCACGTTTTTTTTTTTGCAATGTTTATTTTCAATTATAGTCCAAATATACATGTTTACATAATAAATTATATAAAAACGGTATAATTTTGATAAAAGAACATGTGTGACAAAGTTATATACATCGGTGGATCAAGTCAGCAATGGGTATAGAATGTGTTTGCTACAATTAAGAGAAATTATTTCAACACTGATTGTTTAATTGCAAAATTTCTAAAACAGTTGCGGGAACTAACGCAAGAGTGCACTACGATTCGAAAAAAAATGGCACAAAGACGAGTTCAGCTGCAATCGAGGACGAGAAACGAGCAGCGGTTTTTCTCGCTCGTTGTCTGGCCAATTGTTTAAATAAAAGAGAACGGGGGAAAAACACATCAACGAAATCAACGAAACGAGCAAATACAACAAGGAAAGAGAAGAAAAAGAAAAAGAGGAAGAAAAAAGAAAAAGGAAGGGAACGTCATGATTGATAACCATCGATTTAAACTACAGTTACAGTTAACATTCGTTTCACGTACACATTTTATGTGAAAGATGCGAATATAAAGTCGAATTATTCATCGGTGGAAAATAATCGATTTGAAATGAAGGAAATAATAAAATTACTTTACGTAAAATTATTTTACGTGTGACCGTGTATCCTCCAAACGGAAGTCCACTGCAGTGGCGATAAAGACAAGTATTTCCGTACTAAAGATGTGCACTCTTATGTTGAAGTTTCGCCGTTCACGACGTTACTAACTATAAAAACGATTAACTACATAACGAACATATCATTGTACATGATTCAGAGACTTCATTCCAACACTACAGAAATCATTTCGAACATATATGCCTCGAATACGACATGATCGGCCGACCGAAGGCCGACTTATTCTTTTAATATGGACAAGAGGGTAGTCGCAGTTGCCGATAAGTCTGACTTCGGTCAACGCGCAACAAAATCGGGATCTCGGGAATGCGACTGACACTTTTGCACCGTTTCCATTAATTCTAGGAAACTTAGGACAAGCGGCGTACCAATCGCTCTCTTCGATTACGACGAAGCGTTCGAACAGAGATCACTGGATTGGTACTGTCGTTACGTACGGTACGGTTGAACGGTATTTTGTTCTTCTCTCGTTCAAAGAAAGAACACGAAAAGAACGGAAAAGAGAAGAAGAAAAAAAAAGGAGAAGAAAAAAATATGTAAAAACCGAAGGATAAACGACGAAAAGCTCAACAAAACTCGCTGGTCGAGTTACACGCTTATCTAAAAAATATCGATCCTACCTTTTATAAGAAACGATTGGCTATGGCTATAACTTTGATTATATCTAGATTAAAATTAGAAGCGTAGTATGTTTCTTTCTTTCCTTTTTTTTTTTTTTGTTTTTTTGTTTTTGTTTTTGTTTCGATTTCATTCACAGTTCAGGTGTGTATGTATATTCTGCAACGACTTCTCCTCGCTCTTCGCCGCAACGCCAGTTCACGGTGAACTGTCCACGGTTCGCATTTTACAGGTTCATTCAACTTTCTCGTCGATGGTTCGATCGCTTGGCACCGATTGTCAACATCGACAAAGAAAAAAAACGGAAGATCGACTTTCCCCTACGAAGTAATGTCTTACGCGCCGCGTAAATTTTCACACGTGCATAAAGCTCGAAGTGAGAGAGAAAGAAAGAGAGAGATAAAAAGAAAGGCAGAAGAGAAGGGAAAAGAAAAGAAGAAATCGCCGAATCGTACGAATGAAAAAGAACAAAATCGTCGAGAAGAAGGAGGTAAGAGGTGAAAAGCGCGTCGATGATCGATGATCGACGATCGAACGTCGCCGGAGACACTCTCGCATAAAAAGAGGCACGAGAAGGAAAGAAAAGAAAAGAAAAAAGAAAAGAAAAGAAAAGAAAAGAAGAGAAAAGAAAAAAGAAAAAGTGAACCGAGAAGAGAAACAAGGTTATTTCCGCGTGTAACAAGCGGCGGGACAGAAGTCTCGCGATCGCTCGTAATCGATGCTTTCTTTTTAATGAAAGGCAGTGGGGGGTGGAGCGACTCGCTCACCTGCAGTATCGGCGGATGCAGGTGCAGGCGCGGGTACCGGGGCTGCAGGAGCGGAGTTTCGTGCAGCTCTTCTCCTCTCCTCCTCCTCCCGCAACGCGGCTTGCTCCCGTGCTTGCCTGAGCCGGTGTTCCTCCTCCAGCTTCAATCTGAAACGAGAATCGACAGCCCGTTAACAAAACGATGGTTTCGATCGATCCCCCCGGGTATATATATCGTCCGATCGACACACCGTTCTCGCACCGTTTCTCAAGCTTTCTCAACTTACCGCTCGTGCATCACGGGAGACATCAGTCCGAGGGATGCAGGCGGTAGCATGTCCGGGCTGTATCTTAACCCGTACAGAGGATACGAAGGTAAACCAGGAAATAACGGCGGTCTCAGCATTCCACACCGTTCCAAGTACAACTGTTCCTCTAATCTGCGTAATAAAGTAGAACAAAAACGTTACACGCAACCACAGACGTTCAGAAACGGGCGCGCACCGTTTAACATTGGGACTTTCTATAAGCGTCAGATGGTATTTTATATCGATACGAAAATGGAGAGACGCGTTCCTGTTTTCACCATGTAAGAATTTCCATCGAACATCTGTGACGCTTATAGTGCGTCCAGATCAAACGAGAAGATGCTCTATCTATCCTTTTCCAATCTTGCCCTTACCAATTCATGCTCGTTTATTACGTTCGACGCCCATTCAATGAATGCAAACGAGACAAGCATGAGGGGGGTGAACGAGCTCGAATGATTGAAATACACCATATTGTAAGAAACTCTGCCGCGAAGCGTTGAATTATCCATAAGCGTCAGAGACGCACTTGTCTCGACGACCAGACACACTTTCTTTCGGCTGGACGCAACATTCGTCTAAGGCGAATTAACTTAATTAGTTTAAAATCGCGTTGCAACAACGATACAAATGCGTCTGACATTTGTAGGGAATCTCGTCTGGAAACAGGAGCGCGATTTTGCTCGTGATACAGCTACACTCGCAGTGTTAGATCACGCGCGCTATGCGGTACACGACGTTACCTATAAGCGTGTTGAAGGTGTGGCGGTGGATAGAGACCGTGATGATAAGGATTGTAGGCCGCAGGATCCAGGGCGAAAGCCGGTGGAGCGTGGGCCGGATGATGTTCAGGCCGGTACGGTTGAAAACCGGAACGGGCCAGCAATTCGGAAGCGGCGGCAGTTACGCTATGTTTACTGGTGTCCGCGGGTCTCGCATTCGTGTACAACGAGGGCATCTCTTCTGGTCTTCTTTCGTGCGTCGAACGTTCCTAAAAGCAGAAATTCACTCGTTCGTTAATCGTTTTGCCCTTTTTTCAATTGCAGGCCATGTCACAGGTGAGATGTCTTTGGCTCGTCAAGTTTATTCGCTATTAACTGTTCGAGCGCTTAAAATTTCCAGATATCTGAAAATTTAACACCGAATGACGAGTACGTGGCAAATTAAGAATGCATTCGTCTTTAATCCTTTGATTATATTTTGAGAAATTGTGTGTGTGTGTGTGTGTGTGTGTGGAAAATGACAAAATCAATTCAATTATTATAAATAGATAGCGTAATATAAATTAATTTCATTTCAGATACACGAGTTCTGCGTACATTCAGGCACGATGATTAAAACATTAAAATCGTTTATCGACGTTATTGGCATTACGCGAATTTTGCCTCAATGTCTACTGACGTTAACCGCGGTTAAAGGATTAAATATATATCTTTTGATTTATTTATTCAATACATTATAGCATGTATGTATATTGTACTCTTTGAATCTTTAACAAGCGAATCAATTATTTTAATTATTGATTATAAGATTATCTGCACGGTACTTTATAATCCGTTCGATACTTTAAATAGTTCATTCATTGCTATATTGTGACATTTTCATTTGAAATTCTTTTCAATCAATTTACTCGACTTATTACGATTGATGGGAAATAGTTCCAGGGATTCATTTAACATTTTTGCATCTACGAAGTACAAAATAAAATGATATGATTTCCAAATATTTTCGCTATATTGTCTACAAGCCCGCAATACTCCTTGACGATTCAAGTAAATTTGAAGAAAATTTGGAAGAATCCTATGAAAATTTGAAGAGACCCTTTGCAATAATGTAATAAATTATTGCTTGCCTCTTGATCATGATTAATCGCCAGTTTGCTCTCAAGAGCAAGGGACAAGCTTTGTTTCCGTTTACGGGGACCTAGAAAGCATCGAAACGTTGGAAGAAGCGAACCAGGTAGGGGAAAAAAAAAAAAGAAGAAAAAGGTGAAGGAAAGGAGGTCGATCGGCCGCAACGATTACTCACCTTGGCAGGGGAAGGACCTCTAACCAGAGGAGGTGGCGCTCGATTCTTGGGGCTCGCTCGAGGTTCTTCTTCCTGAGGTGCCGGCCCTGCCTGTTTTGCAAGGTTTCTCAGAGCGGCGGCAAAACTCCTGCTACTCTGTTGACCACCAGGACCCGGCCCAGGAGTATGACCCTGAGGTAAAACGCCGGAACTGGGTCTGTGAGACTTGCTGATCGTGGTGGGTTGAGCTTTGGTGCTAGCAGGCTGGAGACCTGAAACAGAATTGAGAATTAGGCATTAGATTTTCACGCAAACTAAGCCAAACGACGAGTTTAATATGAAAAAAAAATTCGAAACTTCGATCATTTCAAGTTGATCAATCTGACTCATTTTTGTCAAAATGCTGTATTATTTTCCGACACGTATGCAAGTATAGAGATGAGATGTCGTGTGACTTTTTTTTTTTATATTTATATTTATGATAACAAGTATAGTATATGTCGCTATAGTTAGAAGATAATATTTGCTTTCAGAATATTTGAAAGACAACTGCATTGTAATTGTTATACTACAATTATACATTATCTATGGTATTATGTATACTAATTTAATTTTAACATATACAGTCAATTGATGAGAACAATAAACAATATTATGCTAACGAGGTGAAAAGTCTGCAGAATGATTTCAAGTACGATTGAGATATCGTGTTTCTAAACCGCGTCGTAAAAAGCTTATACATATATTTTACGAAGTGTCGGCCATTTATTAGAAATGAATATGAATGCGCAAAAAGTTAACGACAGGAAAACGTTCGTCAATCGTAATTGTCACGACGTAACAAAAATATCAAGCTTTTAATGGAGTCTTCACTAAGTGTCCAATTATTTATTGTACGACGTATACGTGCCGATTTTTCCCGTAATTATTAAAAACACGAGGAAACACTTTGTGCAAAAGTTATTCGAGTCAATTAAGTAAATGCACTTAACAATGAATCAAGACAATTTCTTTTACAAGTTTTTTTCAACGACATGAAAAATCGTCGAAACAATTTTCCTTGCCAATCAAAATCACCACGTGCCGATCTGACCTCGAGACAACGTATAAGAAGCGTTGAGCAGATCGGTGGCTTGCTGTCTTTCAACGTTGATGAAAGTCAGCTGGTTCAACGGAGAATTGTTTTGAGGTTGGATTGGTATGATTGAGGAATGTAGATTGTCGTAAGAGAGAGCTTCAATTCGTAAAATGATAAGATTTCAGTGATTTTGATAGTCGAACCGTATATTGTCGTACGTCGATGGGTTAGGTTTGAACCCCTAATAAAACAACAAACTTCGCAGAACGAATCTACAAGATCAGCAATGATCGCGATCAAGTAAATCAACTTTTTCATTGCAACAGCTTTATTAATATGGTAGTCAATCGGTCAATCTCTTAATCGGCCATTATAAACGCGTTGAATAAACCGCGAGGTTTCCTCATTGGAAATAAAATCGTTATCTGATATAATGTACAAGTCGACCTTGTTGATCTCAGGTTTTCCCCTCTCTTCTTCTTCTTCTTCGTTAGAAGAAATATGCATAATTCACCGAGACGACGACGACGACAGCTAGAGCAAGCAAGGAGAAGCACTGGACAGGCGACAATAAAATCGATAATACGATAATGCGACGATAAACGTTAACGATCCGAACGATACAGTATTATACTGTCCAATGATGGTCGTTCGACGCAATTGCTTTTCGTGTATTTCCGCGATTATTTTGTACACGCGGCAGTTGGAACGATATCGTTTCTCTCCTTCTTTTTCCCTCTTCCCGCGGCCGCTTTCTTTCTCGCTTTTCATCGACGACAGAAAGAAGGAAAAGCGGTACTTCGATCTTCGGGACTGTTTGCCAGCGATACGAATCTGGGATTCCACGGGGAACTCTCGGATGAAAAGAGTAAGCGGCTCGGAAGGGCTTTCAAACCAGATCGATCTTCATCGAAAAGACGCCAAAGCGTGAATTCATTCTTCCGCGGTTTGCTCTTTTTTTTTTTTCCCCTGCTCGCTTTACCGGACCTCCCGCCGCCACTCCTCTCTCTTCCCACCTAGTCGATTTTTTCTACTTCTCTCTCTCTCTTTTTTTTTTCTTTTAAATCAAGAACGAGATAGGACACGTCGACATCCGGGTGGTCCTTTGTCTGGGACGGTGGTTGCCAAAGGAAGAGACGACGAACGGACGGTTTCTCTGTCCCTTATCCGCGTTTTGCCGGTGGCTCGCCAGCCGAGAGACGCGCGTGCGCGCGAAAAAGTCTCCCTCTTCCTCACCACCGGTTAAAACGAGAAAATAACAGGCAGAGAATACCACCCGGTAGCTCTCTCTCTCTCTCTCTCTCTCGTCGGTGATTCCGAGGATGGTTTTCACCCTCCATTCAATTCCTCGTCAGCAGAGCGCACACATCTTCGCTTCCTCTCAACGGACACGCGACTCTTCCCCTCGGTCTTTCCGCTTCGCGTGCAGCCAGCAAGCACCCCCATCGCCTTTTGCTCTCGACCTCCCTCCCTCCCCTTTCGTTCTCCCCTGTTCCAACCCCGTGAAACACACTCGGCTTCGAAACGCGATTTCTTTTCATTCCCGGGCTCCTTCGATCTTCGAACGCGCCTCTCCCCCATCATCCCCCCCTCCCCCATCGTCGCATTAAACGCGCTGGAACGATCGAAGAAGCTGAATGCCAAACGAGTATTCACAGATGAATGGGAACGAAGAGCGTCGCTCTTCATTTGGAAAACGAACGCAGCACCGCGGATTGAAGCTGTGCGTTTCGTTCGATCTTCGATTTTCCAGCAGTAAGCGAGAGGAGGTATTCTCGCTTGCTCGGCTTGGAAGAACGACGAGCGTTTTCGCGTGGCTGTCCGCAAGATAGGGAGAAATTTCCACGTCCGCGGGGGGAAGGAATAAAGAAAGAAACGTGCGCGGATGGTTCTCAGCGGAGCCGAGAGGGGAGATCTCTCGAAGGGAGAGCAAAGGGAAAAACGACATTCGCCAACGCGAACGACGCGCAGAGCCAGGGGTGGGTTGACTCGACGTCGGAAGCACAAGGATTCCAGCGAGTGGAAAGGGTGTATAGAGGGTGGTGTTAAGCGGCTTACAGTCTGTTACCATGGTAACGCCACACCACTAAGACAGGAAGAACCCGTGACCCTTTCCGTGTATAGTGTGTACACCCTCCCCCTCTGCCTCCCACCCCCTCTCTTCTCTCGTCCAACGCTCGCTCCTGCATCCTGCGGGAGAAACGGGGGAGGAAACCAGAGAGACCGGCTACGACCGGCTAAAGAGCCACGGATTACGCCACTGACTCTGTTTTTGCGCCAAAGTGTGCTCGCCAACCACCCGCCAACGTACCCGATACACACGTTTACACATTCGAGGAAGAAGAAGAACCCACGGGGGGAGGTTCTCGCGGCCTCGCCCCCGAATTTTTACGTCGACTTGAAAATTCACTCGGATTCTTTATCGTTATCCTATGAAATGAACCGCGACATCCTAAATCGCTCGGGCTTGTCGCGTTAACGATTCACTTTCAACCGGTTTCTTTCTTCGCGACGACGAAAATTCGTGTCCATGCTGCGTTTCACTGCGAGCAGCAGAATGGCGTGAGATTTCTGGCAAAATTCGTCGTCCGTTTCGATCGTCGGACCCCTTTTCTCTCCGGAGTGAAACGAGTAATCGTTCAAATTGGAATTCCAGCTGGATGTGCAAAGCAACGCGAGAGCCAACATCGCGGAAACATTGGCGAATAGTTGGCTCTCTCTCTCTCTCTGCGTTGGGAAATATCGCGCGTGGTTAATGATTTCGCGTCACCGAGCCGGATGCGCCCTGTTGCGCCTGGGTCGAATTGCGTCGATAGCGACATCGACGCGGGCAAGAACGCGTTTCCAAGTTCGAATTACGAGATGTGACGTCGTTGCTATTTATCGAGTGAAAGTAAGTACGTTGTGGGCGAACGTTAACGTGTTCCTCGAGATTGTTCGAAACGGCGAATATAATATTTTTTCACGTGTCCGCCGAGTTGTTCATGTTCGTTCGGAGCACGTCATCGATGTCAGGTTTCCTAAGAATACAGTTTAAGGAAAGAGAATCACGATAGACAATTATTTTACCTACAAAATATATCATAGAAACTCTAGTTTTCCATCTTTTTTTATATATTCTTTTATGTTGTAATTGTTGTGTGAAATTTGGCACTTTAAAGTTTGCACATGTATAAATGTACAAGAATCCACGACCCACAGGATTTTTCAATTGGTTCATATTGCTCTGCATCAGTTACTAGAATTATGTTTCAACTGCAGAATGATTTACATCTTACTTAGAATCTTGTTTGTTGGTGTGTTAGGAAAACATTCTTATGTCAATATAAGGAAATTTTTATAAAATAACATACTGATGAAAGGAATAAGAAAGGAAAGATAATAAGAAAGAACAAGAAAATAATTAATTATATTTAGTCGGATATTTGTAAAAAAAATAATAATGAAACACATAAAAACACAAGGTAACATGCAAAAATATCCAAGAATTACAATATTAATTATAATACTATGTAAAAGAAGCAATTCTCTACCAAGTTCCATTTCTTTAATTATGTGAACGTTATGAAAATTCAAGAATGCATAAAAATCTGCAGCCCGATTATAATTAATTATTCCTTCATTCTTTCAATTTACTATGTTCTCTTTAAAATTCTCTTTCTTATTCCTTCCATGCGTTATTTCGTCATCCACGTTTAAAAGTATTCTAAATTCAATTCTTTTTCACACGTAAAAATTATTAATGCCACGATTGCCGATGAAAAAAAAAAAAAAAAAAACTTGTAAAAGGACTCGATGAGACAATAATATTCCACTTTCAAAAATATCCTTTTTCACAGGCGCAAAGTTACAATAATTAAATTATCAAATTATTCGACTCCAGATGCGTTAATTGTCGAGAGAGAGAGAGCAATCCGTTTCGAGAAGGATTAAATAATCCACCAACGAGACAAAGAGAGGGGAATAAAAGAAACAAGAAAAAAAAAAAGAACGAATCGATATAACGGTACAAAACAGCATCGTTTACCTACGGGGCTTCACCGACAGAAGAGAAGGAGAGGGTGAATACGCAATATCTTTTTCCCTCGGTCGAAAGATGATAAACAACAGGTGGGAACATTGTCGTTTTATCGTATGGGAAACCGGGAGACGTATGCAACAACGGAGGGAAGCATCCGTATTATATGTGCACCC